AGAGTTGATTAATATTGAGCACTGCCCAAGTAAAGCTGCAGAGTTGTTTAATATTGAGCACTGCCCAAGTAAAGCTGCAGAGTTGTTTAATATTGAGCACTGCCCAAGTAAAGCTGTAGAGTCGTTTAATATTGAGCACTACCCAAGTAAAGCTGCAGCATTGTTTAATATTGAGCACTGCCCAAGTAAAGCTGTAGGGTTGTTTAATATTGAGCACTGCCCAAGTAAAGCTGCAGAGTTGTTTAGTATTGAGCACTACCCAAGTAAAGCTGTAGAGTTGTTTAATATTGAGCACTGCCCAAGTAAAGCTGTAGAGTTGTTTAATATTGAGCACTGCCCAAGTAAAGCTGTAGAGTTGTTTAATATTGAGCACTACCCAAGTAAAGCTGTAAAGTTGTTTAATACTGAGCACTGCCCGAGTAAAGCTGTAAAGTTGTTTAATATTGAGCACTACCCAAGTAAAGCTGTAAAGTTGTTTAATATTGAGCACTACCCAAGTAAAGCTGTAGAGTTGTTTAATATTGAGCACTACCCAAGTAAAGCTGTAGAGTTGTTTGATATTGAGCACTGCCCAAGTAAAGCTTTTTGGGCAGCTGGTCAGGGAAGGATCAACAAAGCTTACTAGCTGCCATAAGGTGGCTAAGTGGGGTACCTACCTGAACATGAACACTTCTACTGTTTTGTATAAGAGGAATATAGCTTAGTCAACCCCATAATATCCTCCCAACAATAATGAGTGGTGAGTTCTTTTGACAGTAAAGTGTTGATTTTTTAAGTTAAAAGACCAAGCCTCTTTACTGGAGTATTTTTTTAGGGGGGGGGTTCTAATATGAATAGCACAAACCATGACACCCATTTGTAGCCCACCCAATCCCCCAAATTAGTCTCGCTGACTCACAGACCAAGTGTTAAGGACACGAATGTCCTCATCTTACTTAACGAAACATTTACCGTACTTTTAAACTGATCAATAAGTGTAGAGAACAACAAACTTTAGATAACATTTAGGTTGTTCATGTACAGTATTTTACTGGCATAGAATCCTCAAGATATTTTTTCTCAACAGGTTTTCAGAAGTCATGCTCCGATCAGTTTTAATCTTCAAGTTACAGTACCCTCACCATGGTCCTTATTTAACCTACAGATATTTGGTTTTAATCCCACACATTCACAGTCACTTACCTAGATCAGCATTTTCATCTTATTTTGTGAGGAAATGTTTTTCTTCCGAACAAATTAAAAATAATCAATTACCAGCTGCATTTTATTCTTCTACATATTTAAAACAGTATGATCATAACATATTCAAACCTCGCACCAAATTAATACGATCTTTACATTCAGGAAATATTTTATATGAAAAAAAAGAATATTCCAAGGTTGAAAAAACAGTTAAAGCTCTGAAGGAAGAAGCTGAGAAAGGAAAACAAGATATTAAACAGAAGGTAACGGATCTGCAAGCTACTCCTAAACCAGTGTTAGTTGTTCCTCCTAAACGATCTTTGTGGAAAAGAATATGGGATGAGATCCTCCATTATTACCATGGATTTAGACTTTTTTTTATTGACGTTAAGATATCGTCACGGCTTGTGTGGAAAGTTCTTCATGCAGACAATCTTACCCGGCGAGAACATAGACAGGTCAGTTTAAAAAATTATGTAGTCCACCATGAAAATGTTTTTTGTTTTTTTTAATGATCCATGAACATCTTTTCGGGAAGTTATTCAAGTAATACTGTATACGTCTACCGTGTATTCTGTAAAATTTTGAGATACATGCATTCTATCCATGTCTGATTAAGATTGCTGCCCCAATTTTTGTCGTATCAAATTTTCACATAGATGTTCTCTCATGTTATAAAAACTTTTTTTTTCTTTTAGGTGCAGTAGATGGCACTGCATTCTTATTTTCTGAATATCTTTGTTTTTGTTTCTTCAAATGTTTATCTTAAAGTGTGTAAGATACATTCATCTGAAATCCGTGGTTAAATTTTCAAACTCCCTTTTGTGATCCACTCTGAAATTCTAGTGAGAAGACCAGGAATTCTAAAGGTTTGAAACCTCAAGAGGCAAAACTCTGTTCCAGATCATTCCATCCTAATTCAACCTCTGTCTGAAACTTGTATTTATAACTTACGTTTTGTAGTTTGATGTCTTGAGAACCATGGAAGCTTTCATGTTTGTTTGTTGGGCAGATATTCGGATCAAGTTAATTATCACTTTAATGAAATACCTTCATTGTATTAAACTATAAACATGTAGTGTTTTTGAAGACCAGTTATATTTTGTGCTTTACGTACTACAGAAATAACTGATTAGAACCTAGACGTTAAATTAAAACTTCCTTTCACTTATGTAAAAAGTTTTCTTATTATCATTGAATTTTAAAAACAAATAAACAACATCCTACATATATCTATCTACTGCCTCCAAGATTCATCGATTTCATAATGAAGGTGTTATACTACATGTGCTATATTTAATTGTAGAGTTTTATATTGACTACATTTTATTTTGGATACCTCTATTAACACCTTATTTAAGTGTAAAACGGTTTTGGACAATCTTTTGTGAGGGTTCTCTAAATTGAAGTAAAAACTCCACTGTTTAATTATTTATAAGAAAAAATGTAATTGTAAAGTAATAATGAGTGGCTTATAAAATCATCAGTTTTGTACTTGTAAGTTTTTTTTAACATATGTATTAAATTAAAAATTGTTTTGCAAAGAAAACGAATTGTCCTGGTGAAAAAATAATAATGACACTGTATACCCCGAACTAACTTTATTATTTTTTATTTGTGTTTTTTGTTCCAGAAGATTCCACAGTTTTACTGGAGAAAAAAATTAAAGTTAATTTTAACCACGTATGAAAGACCATTTTACTAATTGCCGTTTTTGAACTTAGCTTGTCCGAACCGTGTCAGATGTCTTCCGAATCTTACCATTTTCAGTATTTATCATCGTCCCATTTATGGAGGTGTTACTACCTGTGGTGATAAAGTTGTTTCCGGGCATGTTACCATCCACTTTCCAAACATCGTCAGAGAAGGTGAGAAACTAATGTAATCTATATTCTATCACCAAGTGCAACATGCAGTAGTTAACGATTTAAACATTGTAGTGTAACTTTCTCAAATGAAAAACTTTAATTTTGTAATTAGAAAATCGGGTGAAAACAATTAATTAAAACAACTGTATGTGGGTTTGCACACTGTAATCTAGAGCTAAGAAAGACATTAAAAAAATCAATTCATTATATAATTATTTAATACAAGTCTAAAGAGGTTACAGGTCATTGGTTAGGCCACATTTGGGGTAGTGTTCAGTTTTGGGCTCCTTACCTTAGAAAGGACGTTGAATTATTGGAAATGGTTCAGAGGAGGACCACAAGGATGATATTTGAGATGGAAAGGTTGTCATTTGAGGATAGATTAAGATCTTTCCTCTTGAAAAAAAAGGAGGAGATGGAGGGGATCTGATTGAGGTGTTTAAGATTATTAAGAGAATTGATAGTGTTGATGCATCATC